CTACATTTTGAATCGGCTTGAAATACACTTTTTCTTTTACAGTTCCCCAGTAAAAAAATCTAACGGATTCAAATCTGGTGACCGGGCTGGCCACGGTATTGTACCAGACCGCCCTATCCATCTGCCTGGAAAGTTTTGATCGAGATTCTCTCTCACTGAAAGTGCATTGTGCGCTGGGCAGCCATCATGCTGAAACCACGTGTCCCTGTAAATACTCAGTGGCACGTCCTCCAATAAATTTCCTAAATGATTTTGCAAAAAACCTAAATAAACCTCAGCAGCCAAAGTCTCTGGGAACTCAAACGGACCGATTATTTTACCATTTAAAATTCCTGTCCAATGGTTTATCCACATTTAAGAAAGATGGGTACATGAACCTACATAACTTACACGAGGGGCACGTAGCAAACCCACATTTGATGAGAGAAGATAAATCTCAATATCGCTTCAAGATAAACCATTGGACAGGAATTTTAAATGGTAAAATAATCGTTCCGTTTGAGTTCCCAGAGACTTTGACAGCTGAAGTTTATTTGGATTTTTTGAAAAATCATGTACAAAATTTATTGGTGGACGTGCCACTGAGTATTTACAGGGACATGTGGTTTCAGCATGATGCCACCCAGCGCACTATGCACTCTCAGTGAGAGAGTATCTCGATCAAAACTTTCCAGGCAGATGGATAAGGCGGTCTGGTACAATACCGTGGCCAGCCCGATCACCTGATTTGAATCCTTTAGATTTTTTTACTGGGGAACTGTAAAAGACAAAGTATATTTCAAGCCGATTCAAAATGTAGCTGAGCTACGGCAAAGACTATTGGAAGCAGCTGAGTTTGTTAATAACCGTGGATTCGCTCGTTTAATAACCCGATCTTTTTTAAGAAGATGTCGAGCGTGTATTGCGGCTGAAGGAAAACAGTTTGAGCATTTGCTGTAAAGGTAAATCATCATCAGCAGCATTTTGACGCCCACTGTTCTGCAAACAGTTATCCTTAAGGGTCCTTGTGCGTTTTCATAATCGCTGTTTAATTAGGTAATTTTGAAAAATTTCCATCCGTTTTTTTCAAATAAAAATTGTGCATAAGTTAACGAGTAATCTTCTAAGTGTTATACCATTTTGGAATCCTTATTAAATGCGCCAACTTTTAAGGTTACTTGCCAAACTCGTAGTACATTTTTTTCCAGTACAGCCAGTTAAAGTTGAGCAAAGTTTTACTTTGGAATACTTGGTTGGGAAATAAGTGGCAATTTTTCCTCAACGAGAAAAGTTGGCAGTAAGGTTGAGACACCAGTTTGAAGATGCATTATTCATCATTACATTGTAAAAATAAAATCCAAAAAAAGTTAATATTTGTAGTAACAGGAGTTGACAGACTGCCGTAGGGTGTGAAATTTCTATATCTTTTTCAAAGACCTATAATTTTCAAAACACATACATACAATTTTTTTAAATATTTTTCTGATAGCTGTTATGACTTTGCCTATCACCCGGTTTTGGCTTGACGTCGACTTCTGGGACACCCTATAAGAAACTTTGATTTGTCATTTTTATGTATATACGTACTTTGACCCATGTTAGATAGCATTTCTTACTTAACGTAGAAGACTTAGGATAACAAATTTGGTGTCATTTTGTAGATAACATAGTTAGCTGTAGAATTAGCACAAAAAAGCAGTCTCTCGTAGACGGAGGTGGAGAGTACTACCCATCCCAAAAACGTCCGTCCTCTCTGCTGCACCCTGTACAATGTCATATTATTGTATAGTGCTGGAAGCTGGTCACGCAAAGCAAATATTATGAGCAAAATCGAGCTTTTGAACCTGTTGTCGACTACTTCGTATCTTCTGGATAGCCCATATCACAAATGAAGAACTGTCAAGGAGATGTGTTGCAGAAAGGCAGTGGTTAATCTAAAATAACGTAAAGTATTCTACTCGGGATGTATATCGAGATGATTCAGGTATTCGGTACCTAACGTAGGGGAAGCAAGCACGGCCCTAGCATACAACATTCTTGGTCGAGGAACATAAGAAACTGGTGTGATATACTCGTACCAGACGCAGCAACATTTTTCCACAAGCTAAAGAAGAGAACAGGACAGTTGATCATCGAGTTGCAGCTTTACACATGGCACCAGAACAAGAAGAAGAATTATTCAAGACTTTAATTTTAAATCTGAAATACTATCAAGAATACAGTAACCGATGTTGAGACATGATAGATAAGTATCAAATTCAACCTGTTCTGCATTATGACGTGGAAGCTTGTACAACAAATGTTGGTTGCATGAGGGAATTAGAAAACTTAAGAGATGAGACTTTCCAGAAGAATGTTGAAAATACTATGGACGGTTCTCGTTTCGAACAAGAGTTTTCAAGCCACAGTTGAAAAACGTAAATCAAAGAATTTGGAACGTATGTTTCGAAACGAGAAATATAAGTTGCACCATCTAATCATGAAAAGCAAGACTGACGGTCCACGGAGTCCTGGAAGAAGACAAGTACACAGAATCGCACAGCAACCCTCCGATGCGCGAATTAGTAGATTGTCCGCATGCACAAAAGGCTGCGGCAAATTAGAGCAATTTGACGATATCCTTAAAAAAATCAAATATTCTAACCTATAAAAATCTGTCAAGTGATTTGAGCAATGCCTAAATTCTTCCGTCATAAAAGATTCTCTTGTGCCTCTTTGTTATCTCCCTTCCTTCTCTCCTTTCCTTCGCTTTTTTCTCTAAAATTGTCTGGTGTTTGGGTTACCAGACCTGACAGACTTACAAACTGACGCTATGGAAGCAGGGATTGGTTACAATGAACCTCCATTAGAAAAAGTAGCACTGGAAGGAGAAGAAGCAACCATGCAATCCTAGTTTTACCTACTATCCTATGCCAGATATTCGGGTTACCAAATCCCTTAAACCCTTTGCACGACACTGTTCGTCACCTTGCTAATTTATACCCAAGAATGATGAATAATTCTCCTTAACCGTTCCCAGCTCGCTGTAAATACATATACATAATTAAAGTGAATAGAATATTGACACGGTAAGTGGAGGCTTTTTACATTAATATTTCAAACTTAATTTTGTAGGGGGATACGACAAATATTGAAAGCAAAACTGGCTCGTAAACTTCCAGCACCAACTGATGACTAATGTTAGCAGAGATGATGAGTTTCCTTGTCGTTGTGCAAAGAAGGTTTTTAGGGTATTTATACAAGGAAATTGTTCAGCAAGAAATTGGAACTTTTAATTACCTAATCTAGAGTATTCCGGCAGATAATTATCACTAAGAGTAATTATCTTATTTCTCAATTTCACTGCGAAATGCGATAGAAGTATTGTGGTAACGAAAGTCCCTAACGGTCACGTTGATCGGACAGTTGGTTCTTCGTTGGTATTTTTTACGCTGAAAAATATCAGTAGCCCAATGCTCGATGTAAATAAAATTAGGAATATTAAAAAATAGAAATGAACAGAGTGCAATACTATAAGCTCATATAGAAAAGGAAAACGTAGTCTACGCGTAAGTAGCGTAGCCAAATTGAAATGGCGGACAGATGAGGTCTTTTTCTATCACCCCAGGTTCCTCAAACAGTTTTTAGCCCAACGGAGTTAATTATGTAGATTTTTTAATTTTTTTGAGTAAAAAATCCAAAATGTGAAATAAAAAAAAATAAAGAGTATGTCCTCATAATGATTAATTTATCTTAATGGCGGATGTTGTACCAATCTTACAAAATCAACATTACTTGCCAGCAGCATGTAGTTTTTTATTTATAAACTCACAAAGGGTTACAAGGAAGAACAAAAAATATAAGTCTCAATTTTGAATTCCTGTAAAAAAACGTTCTTAGAATCCTTTTAAAAACTGCTCTAGTTTATCCCGATTCTAATGGTATGCCACCAGTCACAAAAAAGTTCAACTAACTTATTGAATTTGCAAATTTTGTGTACAGGGGAAGGAAAATAAAAATACGTGTAAAATCAAATTTCAATCATTTTCTCTGTTTCACAAATCCAAACGCCTCTTCTATTCTTCGGATCAACTCCTCCCTTGTGCCAACTTCTGTCGCGTAGACGAGTGCTTTTGCACGTAAATAAAAATTCCTCCTAATCTAACCTCAACAATCCAGTTTTTTGTTCGTTGACTATGTGTTCTTTTCTGCTTCGTCTAAGAACAACTTCAGCAACAATCACGCCGACTTACTCCTGATGATGATGGCATAGACCGTCGAAAGCTTGAGTTTTAGGTTAATAGAGTGTGCTTTGCAAAACTTCGCCGTCGACCCAAAGGTAAATTACAAGGATATAACGATTAATACTCGTATATATTAAGCATCGAATTTTTACTTTGAAAGTTGTGATATTGTCGCAGATATATCGTCGGTTGTCAAGAAAAGTGACACAAATCAAAATTCTTGAATTTTCAGGAGAGCGATTTGAAATATTTGATAATCGTTTGTATCGCTTGGCTGTTTTCCTAATCGATTTACACCAATTATTTTGATTGTTTTGTGTTGTAGATATGACTATCTTATTGTTCATGGTAAGTTCTGATGAAATTTGATTTGAAGTACTAAAAAAACAAAATATTTGTAAATTTATGTCGTTGTTCGTGATAAACATGAGATTCGCAATGCCATGTCTAAAACAACTTTTTTATTAATAAACCGTACATTTGGTAAATAACCTGTATTTATTTCCTTTTCAACAAATGCAAATAAAACATTCTCTATCAAAAAATATATGGAAATATAAAACAAACTTATGTACAGAGTGATACAGTCACTCTAAATTGAGGCTGTTTTACAGCACAGAATTAAAAAATAATAAGCACCATTGCAAAACGTAGGAACATTATAAAAATAAATAATAATGCCGAGAATATCACTAAACAAAAAAACATCTCTGCGAGTAAAAAACAAGTAATCAAAGATGCATGGGAAGTTAAACATACTTATCGCTTACTTAGGAAAGCCATAAGTAAAAGTACCTTTTACAAGTTACTATAATACTGAAAGTAAGTCTTCGGAATCACAGAACTAGGTTGGTTGAATAAACTTAAAATACTACTTTTCTTTTTTTCAGTAATCCCTGGTTTAACTCGATATAGCTTTTTGATTACCAACGTATCATCGTTTTCTACATTCCGTCTTCTGCAGTATCTAGAAAGCCCTATATCAATGGTTTGGTATTCATCAGCATAAGATGCTTTATAAAGTATTTTATTAGGGTTATTCTTATCCGCTTTTACTACTTTAATGTCTGCTATCTTGATACTTTCGTTTCTATCATTTTTTGTGAAGCTTCTTGCTGCCGTAGAAGCAAAATCTTTTAAATCAAGGAAGTCTTCATGATTCAGCTCATGCACTCTGTAGGGGCTACCTGATACTTTGGACGTTCGTATTATGGTTACATACTGGGCTGGAATAAATATGGGGCCTGACTTCAACGAACGCTTGACATGTCGTTCAATCACGGAATGGACGCTATCGCCTTCATTCTGGGTATGTCCTTTGATGAGGAACTTATGCGTTATTGAGTTGATAAAATTGTATTTTTGGACAGCATGGTGGTAAATTTTAAACATAACATGGTTTTTCTGCTGTCCACAGCAATTATCGGAGTAAAAGATAAGGTCAATCTTCTTGTTATACATTTGATTAGCTCTACTTTCTAGAGATTCAATGTAATTTAATACGCATGTACCTATTTCGCAGACACCTCTATTTCCTTCAGACTCGTCCCACATGTAGCATTGGACATCCTTTGTTTTCAGTTCGTAAATTGTAAAATTGAATACATTCAATTTTGAACAGTAGTAAAAAGGTGATGTCTCTCCTCTAGGACACTGAAGTACAGCCTGCAGATCATAAACTGCAACGATTACGTTGCTTTCACTATTTTCTTTATCTTCTTTTTTTTCTTGGCGTGATAGGTCTTTTTCAGCGATGTGAGTCTCATAATCACTAACTAAATTTTGTCTGTCTTCACCAGATGCCATTTGGAATGCAACACAGTCCGTGCACTGATCTTTTTTAGGCAAAAAGAATGAAATATTAAATTCAGGATTGAATCTTCTGCTGTACATTAGGTAGTTGCCGTAAGGTTTCTCAGCTTGTTTGCATGATTCGACGTAGTCTCTATGTAGCTGGGCCACTGTTTTGCCCCCTTCAATGTATTCTCTATTCGAATCTTTCGTACAATAGTGACTTTCTATACGTGGTATCGAATTTATGTGGTTTCTAATCCCAGTTTTAATATCATCATCGACGCGATGGTGATTACCGTGTTTCCCTATCTGTTCACCCGACAGTATCCCTTTGGTAAAGCTTCTTTGTTTTTCCAACACAGTTCTTATCGGACGGTCCGTAATACCCAATGTTGCTCTGAAGAAATGTTTACATATTCTTATTTTAGTTCCTCGGATAAAAAAGTAGAACGCATTATTGCTAGCACGCCTACTATTTTTATACTGATATCTGCATGTTACAGATTCCATACATTTTGCCAAGTAATCTCGTTGCCGCTGCAGATCTCCTAGACTCCAATAATCAGAGAATATTAGTTTTCTTTCCTCACTGGAGATTTTCTCGTTGCATTTTAATCGGCAATTTTGGCAGGGAGGTCCCATTTCTCTAGACTTGATGACCCTTTTGCTGGATGACGATATGTATTCCAGTCCTCTATTTCGTTGCCGTTTTGCAATGTTCTTTTGCCAAGCATCTACATTCATTTTTCTTCTTCTGGGCTTCTTTGCTTTGGGCTCTTCGAAATTTGATAATTCGGGGGAAGGAGATTCTGCCGATGCAGACGAAACATAGTCTGGGTCTGCATCGGAGTCATCACAGGGTGACTCAACATCGTCGAACTCCGCTTCTGTATTTTGAGCTTCTCGTATATGTGACAATGTGTCTCTGGCCTGCTGATCAATATTATATATCTCTTCGCCCTTTTCAGTCCCTAGGGAATCAAGCAGGCCATTGTCGAGATCAATCAGTTGATCGTTTATTTTTGATGGGCTAGCTGTCAAGAATGAATCTACAATCTCTGTCACATCTCTGAAATGCGGTAACGCATTTTCTCCTTCACAAGGTGGATTAATTGGGGGTGGTGAATTAGGTGCTGTAAGTTCTTTGCCAGATCCTAAAAGAGAAAAAAGAATCAATAGTAGCTCAAATAGCTTCCATTTTTTCAAACATTTGTTTCTACAAAAATGTCAATTCAACGATGGAAAAGTTTGTCTTTGTAACAGAGCCTCTAAATGGGCCATATTTTCGTAAAATATCTCACTGGAACTATAGCAACCGTATATAAAAATATTGCAGCATATGAAAGGGTTGCGATAGTTACATTAAAATATTTCACCAAAATACCTATTCCTCGTTTAGATTCTCCATAAGAGCATCTACAGGTTGAATTGAATAATTCTACATTTGACCTAAGACATCACGGCTTAACCGACTTACCAGTTTCTGATGATTGTCCATATATTCCCTCATTTTCTAAATCACTGAGTCCTTTTTCTGCAGACAATTGCATTAACAGCCTTGTTCGTTGAGTTAGTGGAGCTTTGGTATTCAAATCCATCACTTTCTGAAAAGAAATCTAATAAGATTCTTAGAACGACAAAAACATTGTTAAAAGGTACATAGTTGACCTAAAACAAAATCATCATGTTTATTTAAAATGGCATATTGAAAGTGTTGAAAAAAGTGACATATTTTTCGACGTATGATTTAGTCGGAGTAAATTTATGAAGAACGCCATCATAACTCAAAATTAGGATGAAACCGATAAAGTCTTGTCAAAAAATAATCACTATTTATCAGGAAGGACGACATAACTGAAGACTAAAGACATGCACGATAAGACTCAACTAAGTATGCTACCTACCTTATTATCAAAATCGTTATAAAACAAAATGTGCCACTCTTCTTGATAACAGCGTTCAGATCACACAGCCGAAGTCAAAGTGTGTCGTTTTTCTTGATAACGCACTACCACACTGCGAGACGTGCCAGGCACAACTGAAGTTATGACACTTTTCTTGAGACGCGCAGGTGAATAGTTACTGAAAAGAAAAGTGACACTTCTGCTATCTACGGGCCGTTTTTCAAACTACAGTTGTGACGGTTCGTGTGATAAAAATATACACTTTTTGACGATCATTCATGCATATATCTGAAAAAACGTGATTTTTGAGTTGTGTCACTTTTCTCGACAACCGACGATATAACCTTCAACAGTTCCTAAACGACAGTTGTATAAATGACTCCATTGGGAGCAACTTGTTCGCTGAAGTAATAATTTTTCACAAGGCTCCGGTTTGTTGTATAAAGGTTTCCATGGACGTCACACTTATTTTGACTACCGAGCTGATATGCCGTATAAAATAGTTGTAAAAACGTTTATGCAGCAGTTCAAACTTATCTTATATAGTGTGGTATAAGTATGCTACAAGAATGAATTTCAGAGCAAATATGCTGCAGGCAGCAGCTTTGCATTTCACGAAACATTAAGCCATCATCTTGGTGTTAGGCAAGAACACAAGGGAGCTTAACAGTTCATTTACCAAAAACTTATAACACTGCTTTGGTATTTGGTACATTACGAGACCACTATGGCCTTTTTTAAGTACAATTGACTGTCTTCCAGGTGACATTTCCTTTCATTTTTCCTTTTTACATCGCTACAGCAGTCTGAACGGTCCAGTAACATGCTGAGATTGCACAAATCAATCTTTGCAATTTTAAGTTGGCATCATGTGAAACCTGCAAAGGCCAGGACCGCTTTTGATAGGCAGAGAACATCCAGCTTGATATTTGTATGTAAATAGTCTCAAAAACGCCCAATGAGATCTGAAAACACGAAAACCTACCCAGAATGGGTTAATTATTATGCAATCTGCGACTGCAACTAATGCAAGAGCATTGTTTATAAATTTGCAAGTGGTTTAATTTGGCCAGGCAGAGGAGTCTTAGATGCTAGAAATTTAATAAAATTGTAGTTTGGAAAGACCTCTTTAGAAGCCTGTGTACAAAAATAAACCACAAATATGCTAACCCTCAAGGGTATTATGTAAAAAACCTATAAAACGTCAAAAAAACCTATAAAATGTCATCTTGAGGAATAGGTAGTCTTTAGGGTGCAAACAGTCATTCCACGTTTGCTCACTAGGATCGTTGTTAGCGTCCATCTATGGGGGAATAGATCAACTACACGCATTGTTGGTTGCATATGTTTTATGAAGCCGAGTAGTCTATAGTTTTCATCTCTAAGAAGAAAGTTGGTTGAATAGCAAGATAGCATCTGGATGATTGTGTGTATAGGTCTGCATGTGTATATAATCAGTGATATTTACTCTGTGAGGAAATCGATACTGAATATGCTGCGAATGAAGTATATCTGTTAGCTGTGCCCGACGAGTTATTTATATGTTGTCCTTTCAAAGTTATAAATTAAGATTTTTGTGTTTTCAAAAACTTTAAGGAGAATTTCGGGACATCACCACCGCGCCCGCGTTGTGTGTGATTACTGTTAGCATGTATATGACTTGTAATTCGACAGTGACCTGTGAATATATTTATTTCTAATCTCTCTCATTTTTAAAATTCAGAAAATTTGCAGATGTAATTTTCAGAATGGATGCGCAACTAATAACAAAATAACTCATAATCTCACAAAAAACCAATATAATGTCAATAAAAATCGACATAATGTCACTTTACAAGATACGTAATACCCGTGCCGATTTTTTTTCGAAAACTACTGTACTAAACGAGTCTTCTGGTTGAGCTAACCGGACCATTCTAAATACTTGCAGTAGAATTATAATAGGTTAAGAATCATGTGTTGCATCTTTTCATGAGCACGTACCAGCTGGAACTCATGGCAAATAGGAAGAAAGACCGGCTTTACATCACTCAATCGGCTGGAGTTTATAAAAGCAGGTATATAAAACATATATGTTACTTTAGTCTGCAGGAAGAAGGAATAAATGCCATTCTGACAAACATTAAAAATTAGATTTACTGACCACTATATGCCAGCTATAGGTATAATGCAATGAAAGCACTAAGCGTGCGTGCAATTAAAAAAAATCAATTTAAAATGGATATAAAATACAGCAGTACAGTGTAAATTAAAACACATGAAAACAGTCTGAACACAAGTAATATTAAATGATACAATAAAAAACATGATTGAAGCAATTATGGCTTCATATTTAAAAAACCATTAACTCTATAAAATTCGTGCCTCATGAGAAAACTTTTAACTTCCTCCTTGAATTTGTTGTAGCTTTTTAGTTCCCTACTGCTGTGAGGTAAAATGTAGCAATACAATTGTAGAAAGGAGACTATTCGAAGAGTGAGAAAGAGTGCATGTGAATGAGTTTAATTTTGACGGTTCGGATGTTGATGATTCTGTGACAGGTCATGAAATAGATAATAATTTCCTCTTAAAAAAGTAACACATTTGTGAATATAAACGGAAGAAAGTGTGAGAATGTCACTGTGCTTGAAAACCTCACTGCAAGATTTGCTAGGATTTATGTTAAATATTAGTTTCATTAATCGTTTCTCTATCACTTTCGATGGAGTTACCCTATGTCATGATGTTGTATGACAGGTAAATATGTGCAAGCGCGAATTTAATCAGAAAGTATTGAGCAAATTTTTTTTTTATATTTATGACGTAAATACCTGTGGGTGCTGTCTAGGAATACGGAGGAAGAGGTGGGGATCGTCGCAATGACTCTAGAGGGGGAACACATGCACGTACACATTCTCATACTTCCACGCTCGATGATCAATGACAACTTACCACCTACGGATGATCACAACATCCATAGCCAAAGAGAAAAATTCTCTCGCACAGGACATGCAAAAACAAATGCATAAATTACACATAAGGGAATTTAGCAATCCTGATCGAATGGGCATATTGCACAATTATTAATTATGGCCGCGAACCAGCAACAAACAGTATTATGCAATCCTTAATCACCAACCATTGCACACTGAACTCTGAGATGATCAACAGTGACATAAAATAAACCCTTATGTCAACACAAAACAACAACGAACATTTCTAGTGAGGTCTTAAGATGATTACTGATATCTGTTACCTAACATGTGAAGCACAAAATGCACACGTCATGCGTACAACTAAACATTGACTGGCGTGTATATTTAAAATTGACAAATACAGTGAAAATTAATCATGTAAAAATCAGGTGATGAAACATATAACAGATGAACGCGCACAGGAAGGACAAATGTTTAAATCTCCGGAACTTTCTACAACTGTTTCCAGTGCTTCTTGAATTACACTGTATATCTAAACGAATTTAAAGCTTTCGTGTATTTTTATAATATGTTTGTTCATGCCCAAAATTTCGTTAGTACCGAATGCCAAAGATAAGCTTCTATTTCAATTACTGGCGTGTAAATCGAAAATTGCCAAACGCAATGAAAATGAATCATGTAAAAAGTCAGGTGATTTAAAAATACAGTAAATCAACGCTCGGCTGCCATGGCGAGGCTCTAAATTTTAATACAGGCACGTATAGATTATTTAATGACATTTCAGCAGCAACACATCCGGCAAAATAACAACGCCCCGTCAAATTTAACACATTTTCCTAGCAAACAGGCCTGAAATTTTAACAGCACGTGTTTTAATATACAATATATGTATGAAGGATCATTTCCAAGCTCACCTCATACCTGGAATAGCTGTTGAGAGTTGATATTTGTTATGGAATGTCGATGCTCCAAATGCCATGCTGATGTCAAAGGAGCCAGATTCAATAGAACGGATACAATAACCATATCATTTCTAAAAAGTCCCTGTTCCATTTATTACATTGCTATACAGGGTGACTTCGAAGTTGAGTCATTTATTTTAACAGTGAGTAGATCTGATCAAAAGAAATGTTTTTTCCTTCACCATTTTTCTGGTAAAATTAAAGTAACAAAGTTATAGCCCTTTGGAAGTTTGAGTACTGCCCTGTCTCAATAATAATATGTTCGTGTTTGGCGACAACGGATATAATCCGCCTGACCGGTTCATCGCATCGGAAACAAAAAAGCGAAAGAATTTGAAACGTTTATCACGATGTTTTTCGTCAGTCGATAACGCGTTAGTGAATAAATAGTAAGTGTTTGTTGCGTGGCTCAAACGAAATCAAAAATGGCACATGTTTACGAAAATGCTGAACTTGTGGACATGATTCTTATTTACGGGGGGGCAGTCTTTACAAAATGCTCCCGGATGCATCACGGATTTATGCGAATCGGTTTCCCAATCGAGTGCAACCAACCCCTCGTGCCTTTGTTAATGTAGTACAAAGTGCTCGTGAATCAGGTGACTTAAGACCTCACAGGTCAGGGCATGCTGCTCCAATACCGCACGATCAAATACATGTCCGCACTGAAATACTTGTCGGGACGATACTTTATTAAACAAGGTAACATTTTTTTTTTATTTATTTTTTTATTTTTACACACATATTTTGGTTTATCTTCCTTCTACAATCATTATCTGAAAATTAATGACTCAACTTCAAAGTCACCCTGTATACGCTTGTTGATTATGCTGACATTTCAATAATCTAATAAACCGTAATATTATCGATAACACTGGTCGCGTTCAACAAAATGAAGGGCTACAGAGCACTCCATTATGACGTTCGCTTTGTTTGTGTTAAACCGTACAAGAAGTGCTGAATGCTTTACACTGAGATCCAAATTTGTCTGACGGCTTGAGTTCAATGTGCACGAGAAATAAATGTGTATAGGCACATTTGTTAGAAACAGATAGAAGCTGGCTAGATAGCGAAATTCATTATGGCACTCGAAGAGTCTGTTTTTTATTCAACGTTGCTTCTAATCCTTATGCTGCGTTCTTACGGAGCGAGAAGATTCACGTGGC